TTAATAAAGTAGCTGATATTACTAAGTGAAAAATGTTTTCATTTTTGATGACTATATTTCAATGTAATTTATTTCCTTGGTCGTCTATGTATTTTATACATTACACCGAGAAGGGATCTATGGCACAAAAAAGGTTAAGCTCCCTCCCCTAGAAGGATCCAGCAGTTCCCAAGAGTGATTTACAGCCTGAATACCAGCTTGCCTTTGCTGTATACACAAGCTCGCCTCTTCTGTAGCCTCCACCAGCAACATCCCACTTGAGTCTTAAAACAGGAGCAGCTCTGTTTGCTTGTGCAGTAAAAAGTGCTTCTACATCCAGACCGCCACTGGTAAATACCGAAACTGTATTTGCCAAGGAGTAAGAAGATTCTGTTATGAACAATTGCTGGACATGCTTAAGTTAACCCCAAAGGAAAAAAAGCAAAGTTCAGAGGGATTACACAGCAACTAGTTCTTCCATTTCTCCACCCCACCCCCACCCCGAATTTTAGGAATGTTATCTTGCAGCATCTAGTTATCCAATAAGTTGGAAGAATGCAGTAAACCCAGCAGGGGTCTTAGATTCAATCACTGCCAAATGGATAGAAAATACTCTTACTATTGTATAGGAAGAACGTTCATCTACTAGTGACCAATCAAATTCTGGAGACACTGAAATGCTTAAAAAGTAAAACCCGTATATCTTGATAAAAGCATTATGACTCAAGCTTATCTTTTTTTCATTCCTACATTTAAAGAACTACAATGAGTAGATTATGTAAAGCACACATCTTCTACCCTCCCCCACCCCCAGGATAATTGCTTACCAAAAAACAAAAGGAAATTATGTGCCTTCTTAAGTATTTAACCAGTTGAAAGAAAAGTGCCTCTTGGGCAGTTTAATTTTAGCAGTCAAAAAGCCTTCAACTCAAGTCACAGAAGGCAAATTAGACTTTAAGTTTCTACCTAGTTAACATCTAAAAAAGGCAAAGTTTCAAACAGCCTTGAACCAAAACTCAGGGACTCTGCTGGAGAGGAAAAAAAAGAGTAAATGGCTCAAAGAAAGTTTCCTAGGCACTAAGGCGTGTGACCTCTTTTTGCTTCCAAGGTTAGGGAAGTGTCCCACTCTGCCCCAACTAGAGATCAGGCAAGTTTGTAAACTCCATCAGGGCAGGGGTTTTTGTCGCCTGTCTCCAGAGTCCCCTTGAACAAAACCTAACACAGACATACAATTCGTTGGGGCGGGGATTGGGGGGAATTGCGGTGACTGGCGATGCAGTTCTTATCTGGATTTAGTGGCTTTTAAAAATGTTTAGACATTTAAAAAAATAGTCAAAAGTACTGTAGGCTAAAGGTGATGAGGAAGAGAGAACTTCTGGAACTCTTTCCGCCATTCATTTTTCCAGGGTAGTACAACCCAGAGAAGCCAACCAAACTCCAACTTTGTTTTATTTCTGGGACCTCTTCATCTAAACCACGTGAAGACACATCCCAACATTTAAGATGGCAGAAGAGAAGCCACCAAACCCAACCCGCCAAGCACCAATCATGGCTCCCTTGTCAAAGATGCCAAAAAGAAAATCTCATCACATCACCAACTGGCCTAAGGCTATTTAAAAAAATAAAAAAATAAAAAAAAAAAAAAAACAGTTCCTTGAACTCTGGGGCGAGGTAGAACAAGGCACCATGGGACATCAAGCAGGACAAGACACCACAGGCAAAGCCATTTCAAACAGGTGCTGCAATTTAAAATGAGTAGAAATATGACTATCAATTTTGGTCTTTAATTTCTTGAATTCAAGATAGCGCACTCAAGTCCCCAGCCAGGTGTCTGGCGGGCAGCACACTGCCGTTTCTGCTAAATTGCCTCAACTGGCAGCTCAACACCATCTTAACACAATAAACACAAATAAACGCATTTTGGTATTTTGAACAAAATTAGTACTGATCACATTCCCAATTCATAGTAGCCCTTCTACAGTTGAAATTATCTAAACAGGGCATTTTATCACCACTATATAGAGGAAGAGCCCAAAAACTCAGAGAAAAAAAACACCAAGCTGGCTTCAAGGTTACACAGCTGAAAGTCACACAGCCACACTGGAATGCGGATCCCATTCTAAAACCTGACTTCCTAGGCATCAACGTAAACTTCACATTTTAAGAAAAGGAAATGCTAACTGCCTTCTGCCTCCCAAGATGGTTCCCCAACCCACAGCCCAGGAGGAAACTCACCAACAGCAGCACGAATGACAAAGTATCATTTGCTTGTGCACTGCACATTTGTATTCAACAAAAGGAGCTGTTTGGCAAATTGTAGCTTCTCTCCCTATGGGAAACCCAGATGAAATCTAACGTAGAAAGCTGGCCTGAAACGTTAACTAACCTCAAAATCCTTCTAGCCAGCCTGGGTCATTTTGGTGAGTAATTGGAAATAGGAAGTCGTTCGAAACTTGGGAATCCTAATCGTTGATGTTTGTAATCCAGTTTAGCACAAAGGGCATTTGAAACTCTTTTGAGAAAATGCTAATTTTTCCTGTATGTAGTGTTAGCCCCGCGACCACCTGCAGATTTTTTGATCTGTTAATTGATCGCCAGACGTCATTTTCCTCCCTCGAAAACTGTATTCTCGAATGGCTTTGCAAAATAAGACCAGCTCAATCTGCATTCTAAAAAATCATGTGAGACATATACATCCAAGTTAGGTATATATGTCTGAATTATATATCTAACTATATAATTTTAGGCAGATCAAATGCAAACAACCCAAACGCAGCCATTACAAACGCACTGCTTGGGAAAACAACCTTCTGTCCCAAGGAAGAAATTGGAGGCTCTGCAAACACATTCTAGCCGCCAGGAGTTATTACCAAGAATTCCAGACTTGGCAAAGAACAGCGGGCACAGACGGCGATCACGCAGGCGACCGGCACGAATCCCCTGGGGTGCCCATCCTTGGCCCAGCCCAGTACTCTCCATTCACCCCCGCAACCGGTCCCATCCACCAGGTGTGAGCCAGCACCTGCGAAGGGACCCCGCCTCCCAGCAAAGGGCTAGGCTTCAAGCTGGGCCTCCAGGGGGCGCCCGCGCGCAGGCCGGGTGGGCTGTCCGCGACAACCCTGGTGATCAATAGCCAACTCCCCTCCCTCCCAAATCGCAGTGGCAGCGCACGGCCAGGCCTGAGGTCTTAGCTCAGCTCAGGTTGACTCTGATTCCAAACTCCAACATCGTTAATTTCAGAAGCCCTCCCGTAACAAGCTTCCCTCCCTAAAGGTGCCAAACACCACCAAAAGCCCCACGTGTGTGCGCCCACCCAAAATGAAGGGGGAAGGGGAGGTCAGCGTAGGACCAGGGGAGGGGTCAGAGCCAGGAGCTCGCCCCTCCTCTCCGAAGGAAGCAGGCGGGCTGAGGGTTAACCCTTTTGTTCCAGGTGGGCCAGGCCACGAAGCCTTCACGCTCCCCTCAACCCCCACCCCACCCCGCCCCCAACCAAGGCACAAAGAGAGTCCCTCCAGGCGCCTGGGACCTCGGGTGCGCGTTGCGCTGACCACCCGGCGCCCCGAAAACGCCCAGCCGTCCCCTCCGTCAAGTCGATCCTTTTAATTTGCCCTGGAAAAATGTTAAACGGGGGATTCTATTAACCTATTATAAACTTGGGAAATGTATTACATTCGGTCTCCGACAAAAAGGGTGGAGGGTACGGAAGCCAAAAAGTGGCGACCGTCTTCTCGGGAAACCCCGGGCATCAGAGATAGGCTCTGAGAGTCCTCCGGGGTTACCGCGCACACCCGTTTGCTGCAGGGAAATTAGAAAGCAGGCGGGGAGCGCAGCGACGAACAAGGCCGGAGAGGAGGCTACAAATCCCCCCTCCCCCCACGCGCACGCTAAAAACTTATCAGGCGACAATTTGGCGGGCCGGGATGGAGACGAGATAGTGGGAAACCGCCTCGCTCCTAAAACCTCTGCGGTGAAGTGATGAAGTGGGAACAGAGTTGGCCCCGCCGCTCCCGGCGCGGCTGGAGTCCCGAACTCCCCTCGATCCGGGAAACGCTGGCCGCGGAAGCGGGGGCCGGGTCAGCCGCGGGAGTTCGTCCTGGCCCCCCACCTCTCCCCTTTCACACCAGGGCGCAAATGTGGAAAGCCGAGCGCTCCAGAAAAGCCACGCAAAACGGGAGGCCGGTGCACCCCAGCGGGGCTGCCGCGCGTCCGCCACCCCGGCCACTGGGGGCTCGCACCCTCCGGCTTGCCGCGGTTATTTTTAGGAAGTCGGAAATCAAAGATGGCTGGAGGTCAGGCCCCGAAAGGTTAGGGCGAAGATCGGCAGGCGGCGCAGCCCGGGCAGAAAAGGCGAAAACCAAAAAGAAAAAAATTTTAAAGGGAAACATTGAGCCCTCCTCCCCCACCTCTCCGTTCCCTCCAATCCCCTGCGCAGCGCGGGTGGCCCGCACCCCAGCTCCTGAGGGTGGGAGAGGTCGCGCCCCCTCCCCCCACTTGGCCCGGGAGGGGCGCGTGCAACAGATCGTCCTCCTCCGGGGGGTCTTCCAGGGGTGCGCCCCTCCTCCAGCCTCCAAGAAAAGCCCCCACGGGCTGGTGGAGAGGGTGAGGATCCCCCGGGGTTCTTTCTTTTGAGAGCGACGCGAGGGAGGGGGACCTAAGTTACAAGAGAGGGGGGGAACACCAGTGAGGGGAGTGGGACCAGTTAAGTGAGGGGCAGAGGACAAGGAGAAGGGAACCTTTCGGGAGCGAGGAGAACGGAGGAGCGAGTGGGGGTCAATTTTACAATAAGGGGAGAAAGCTGGGGGTGAAACTTACACAAGAAGGGAAAAGAAAAAAGTGGGAAACGTGCAAAAGGCGGGGTGGTGGGGAGAGGAGGCGACCTCTCCTCCCGGGCACTGAGCCCCCAAATCTCGGTTCCTGAATTTGCGCTGGACGCCGCCCGCTCCCCGAAGCCCGCGCCCTCGAGGATCCCGCGTACGTCCGGGAAGCTCCCCTCCCCGGGCGGGCGCCCCAGCCCCACTCACCCAGCTCCCCCGCCGCGGGCGCCGCTGGGGCCGCATCTGCAAACTCCGGGGTCGGCTGCTGCGCCTGCTGCTCGCCCTGGTCCTCCTCCGAGTTGATGTGCTGGGGTTTCGCCTGCTTGCGCCTCGACATGGTGCGAGCATCGGGGCGCCGGGAGAGCCGCAGTTATTTGCCCTCTCCGCCACAAATTCCTGGAGTTGGGAAATTTACCCCCCTTCGGCCGGAACGCGCATGTCCCAGTAATTATTATTATCAATAATGCATTGCGATTTATCATGAGCCCTGACAGCTGATTGGCCTGGGTCCAAGACCTCAGAGATCATTTAAATAAGCCCTCATTGATCAGGGAGGGGCGAGGCATTCTGGGCTTTGTAGTCCGGGCCTACTTGTGACAAAGGCGTGTTCATCAGGGGAGCGCAGCTAATTAGCATCCGGGCTCAGATTGGCTGGGGCGGAGACGAAATCAGAGGGGGGACCCATCCTCGCTCCAACTATCTGAGTCCTTGGAGAGGAGAAGAAAATGGGGGGAAATGCGTACTTATTAAAAAGTAGGAGCGTAAGTAAAAGTTTTGGAACGGGTGTATTTGGTAGTATGCTCCAAAGATTACTTTGTAAGGTTGATGTCCACCAGCCGAGAAGGGAGGTCTCTTCACACTGGAATATTTTGGCTCAGTTTTCACATCTACACGCACACACACTCCCCCAAACCTGAGATGTGACCCGTGTCCCCTCCCATCTTTTTGATTACAAATGTTTAAGTTGAGTCTCGAGATAACTGAAGAATGATGAATGGTGGTGTTTTCGGCCCTCCCACCCATCTCAACTCTTAAAGTGAGCTCGGAACTTCCAAAATTTCAGATTACTCCACCACCACTGTGACTTACTTCTTTTAAAAGCTGATTAATAGCCTCCAGGATTCCTGTTCACAAAGACTGGTTTGTGGTTACGATGCGAACCTTGATTTTTTTTTTTAACTTCAAAATGACTGGCTACTAAATATTAGAAATGGCAAATTATAAGCAAGCATAGTCAGAGATAATATCAAAACAGCAAGCAATTGCATTTTTTCCCCCAGGAGCCATAAATGCCTGATAACATCATATTTTATTACTGAGACAATGCTCTTGCATCTCCCATGGAATGGTAATGGGGCACGGTCACAGTATCTGGTTGTTACTAATCACTACTGGAATTTTTTTTGCAGTACACACATTATTACAGAAAAGGTGTATCGTTCAAAGTGATTGTATCATTCTGACACATGATGCCTGGAATTTTTTAAAGTTGGGCTTGTGTGTGTGTATATATTACATGTATATACATTTATACCATAAATCCATGTATATATAATTTGGCTAACTGCTTTGTGCAATGTACATGCTCAATAAATGCTAAATGAATGATGAAATCATCAACCTGCTAAGTCTTTGATTGGTCTTTCCATAACTGCTCTGGGCATGCGTCTTTGTTTGGCATTTACTTCATTGTAAGGGACTGTGCAGATATAAACCCTCCCTCCACATTTGTGCATTGCATTCTCTTGATTAGTTATTCATCACGTTCCCAGCTTGTAAACTCATCAGGAATACAAGCAAAATGGAATGCTGGGCTCATCAATGTGTTCACCTGGGTATTTGGACAACCCAAGGCAGAAAATAAATCAGCTTGATCATCTTTTTTATATTCGTGGCCATCAGTAAAAACTTATTGAAGGAAGATTAACCTTCAATTTTTGAGTCTCTGAAACAGTCTTGCCTTATTTTATGTATAACATCTAAAGCAAGTAAGACAGAATTATACCCAACAGCCAGATTGGAAAGGTAAGAATTTAGTTTAATAATACATGGAAGCAGTTTAGAATTCTGATACTGAGTAAAAAGGCCAATTAGCACCTTCCTTGCTGACTAATCTACCGATATTCTCAACACCTTTTCTGTGTAAGGTAGTGTGGCAGGAGATCTAACTTACAAATCTAAACGAATGTGCAGTAGGTTTACGGCTCAAAAAATATTATTGGGTTAAGAAAAATTTCATTTATTATATAGTTGTTTATATTTATTTTAGTAGATGATAGTTGTAACATGTTAGCCTTAGAATGAGATAAAATTGTGCCACTTGACTCTCCAAGTGATAGTAATAATAATAATTGATTGAGCCCCTTGTACATGCCACAGACTGCATTAAATAAATGCACACCGCCTAGTTTTATCTTCCAGTGGAGGTCGGCCCTATTGTCCTCTCCATTTTGAAACTGAAGCTCAAAGACATGAAGTGACTTAATTAGAAACTGGCTGAGCTGGTGGTCAGTTTCTAAAATGGCGGTCAGTTTCTAAGTCTGACTCCAAAATTCTATCACATCCTAATACCTGTCTTCCAACTATAGCTGAATATACACAAGATAGCTAAAGAAGAAAAATCGGAGTACAGTAAACATATGTTAAACTTAAAGTGTCCTAGAAAAATCTTGGGTTTTCGGAAATCACTCCAACAGATGAAGTCAAGAAGTTTCCCTCAAATGGAAACCTTCCACAAATGTCATATCAAGAAAAGCAGGACACGGTACATGTTTTGAATCTACTTAGTTTAAGAACTGCAGTCAGGAGCCAGTTGGTAGAAAATAAAGTAAGTCCTAGAGCAAAGCAGGGGATGACTGGAGGGTGTAGCAACAGGCAAGTCCCTAATCAGAAGTTGTTTCAGGCTGAGCACATTGTCTCACGTCTGTAATCCCAGCACTTTGGGAGGCCCAGACTGGCGGGTCACCAGAGTCAGGAGTTCGAGACTAGCCTGGCCAACATGGTAAAACTCCATCTCTACTAAAAATACAAAAATTAACCGGTCGTGGTGGCGTGCATCTGTAATCTCGGCTACTTGGGAGCCCGAGGCAGGAGAATCACTTGAACCCAGGAGGTGGTGGCTGCAGTGAGCCAAGATCTAGCTACTGCACTCCGAACTGGGCAACAGAGTGAAACTCTGTCTCATATAAAAACAAACAAAAAAACAGTTATTTCTTAAACCAAAGGACCTGGGTGGGACCCGAGCTTGAACAGAAAATGTTCAGAGTAAAGGATGATATTAAACTTTTTAATGTAATGTCCTTTGTTAGGTGATTGGGTTTATATAATCCAGTCATCGTCAAAGTTTATGTAATCCAGTCATTTTCAGTGTTTCTGCCAGGCAGGAATATTCAAAAAGTACACTTCTTGGTATATTTTTCAGCAGTCTTATTGTTTATAAGGAGATTTGGGATGTGTAATCTCATTTTATCCTCACTAATATCCTTTTTCAATTGCTTTTTTTTGTTTGTTTGAGACAGACCACTCTGTGGCCCAGGCTGGAGTGCAGTGGCACGATCTCTGCTCACTGCAACCTCTGCCCGGGTTCGAGCGATTCTCCTGCCTCAGCTTCCTGAGTGGCTGGGACTATAAGCGCGTGCCACTACACTCGGCTAATTTTTGTATTTTTAGTAGAGATCAGGTTTCACCATGTTCACAGGCTTGTCTCCAATTCCTGATCTCAAGTGATCTGCTCACCTCAGCCTCCCAAAGTGCTGGGATTTACAGGCGTGAGCCACCGTGCCCGGCCTATTTCTATTTCATTTATGGAAAAACAGAAGCTCACAGCTCCCATCGGCTCCTAGTGAGTATTAACGAATGCATGCCAAATTCTGGATTCAGTAACTTTGCACAGGTCTCAGTATAAGGCAGGTCTTTCCCCGAAAACCCCACCTTTGCTCTTTTCTGCAAGGAATCTTCTTCCTTTCCACTGCTTGCCTCTCTTCACCTGGCCCACTCCTAAGAAGCCTGTAATCTCTTCAAATTTCCCTTCTTAAAACCAATCTTCCCTCTTCCAAACTAGGTCTCATTTATTAGTGCTCTCAGTCTTCAAGAAACCACATCTTTCTTTTTATAGCATCGTTCAAAATATGTAATGACAGACTTTCTCATATATCTGTTTATTGCTTATTTCTCACACTGCAGCCTCCATGAGGGCAGACGCCGTCATCACGGTGTCCTTAGCACTTCGCCACAGTAATGGAACACAGAAGTCACAACAAATAAATAATGAATGACTCAATCCATGCTGAGTAACTTTAGAGGCCTGAATATGAAACAAAGTGTTAAAGGCAACGTAGTAGGTGGGAATGTAAAATGCTAGAGCCATTCTAGAAAACAATATGGCAGTTCCTCAACAAATGTAAAAAAGGATTACCATATGATCCAGCAATTCCACATGTGGGTATATATCCAAAAGAATTGAAAGCAGGGTCTCGAAGCAGTGTTTATATACCCAGGTTCACAGCAGAATTATTCGCAATAGCTAAAAAGTGGAAACAGCTCAAGTGTCCATGGACAGAGGAATGAATAAAGTACATGCAGTCTATCCATACAATGGCATATTACTCAGCCCTAAAAAGGAAGGAAATTCTGACACATGGTACAAGATGGATGAATCTTTGTATGCGTGTGGTTTTTTTGTTATTTTTTGTTTTTATTTATTTATTATTATTATTTTTTGAGACAGAGTCTTGCTTTGTCACTCAGGTTGGAATGCAGTGGCCAATCTCGGCTCACTGCAAGCTCCGCCTCCCAGATTCACACCATTCTCCTCCCTCAGCCTCCCAAGTAGCTGGGACTGCAGGCGCCCCCCACCACGCCCAGCTAATTTTTTGTATTTTTAGTAGAGACGAGGTTTCACCATGTTAGCCAGGATGGTCTCGATCTCCTGATCTCATGATCCGCCTGCCACGGCCTCCCAAAGTGCTGGGATTATAGGCGTGAGCCACCGTGCCCGGCCCACATGGATGAATCCCGAAGACATTATGCCAAGTAAAATGAGCCAGTCACAGAAGGACAAATGGAGTAGTCAAATTCATAGAGACAAAAAGTAGAATGGTGGTTGCCAGGGGCTGGAGGGAGGGAGAGTGGGGGTGGGGGGGGCGGTTACTGCTTAATAGGCATGAAGTTCCAGTTTTGAAAGATGAAAAGGGATCTAGATAAATGTTCAGATTTTAGCTGCTTTGCCACAAAAACAAACAAACAAAATCAGGTAACAATGCAAAATGGATAGGTTCATTTGCTTCACTATGGTAATCTTTTTACTATCTATACAAATCCCATAACGTCATGTAGTATGCCTTAAATATACACAATAAAATTTATTTCTTAAAAAAAAAGAGATATGTACTGGGCACGGTGGCTCATGCTTATAATCCCAGCACTTTGGGAGGCCAAGGCAGGCGGATCA